GACTCTTGCATAACGCATAACACGTAATGCATAAGAAAATGTACCAATCAAAGCCCTCCGTTTCCTTCCTTTCCATGAAATAAAGAATTCTGATTGATTAAATTTCTTATGCATTACATGTTATGCGTTATGCAAAAGTCTGTGCTCCCCGCTTAACACTTTACGATGCACAAACACTTAACACGACGTAACACGTTTTCGCGCGCATATGAAATACGATTTGTTGAAAAATACCCTAATTCACAGTTTTCTCCGATAGGTGCGCTCGGATCAGTTCTTCTATACAGCGCTTTTCCGACACCGTGTTTCGAGCCCATCTTTTTCATGGCCGACCGCTTGAGCTTGATCTCCTTTTTATTATTTCGTGATCGCAAGGTTCGATGTGACGTCGCTCGTGAAGTTGGTGAAGTTTTGCCTAACCGCGATGGGAGATGCGCGACGAGCAATAGCCAATGACAACTCTGCTTTTCCAGACGTCACATCCGTCGCGAGGTTCGTTGCGACGTCGCTCATGAAGTTGGTGAAGTTTCTACTTTGCTCACGAAGCAGGAAAAAAGTGCGAAAATCAGCGAAAGTGTATATTTACGTATATAAGGAAAAGGTAATTTTTTTAAATTTATCGATTGATCAATCACTGAATTAAAGATCTGATCCGTTCTGTATACAGATAAAGCCAAGAAACAACCAAAATCTAACTTAAAAATGGACGACGAGGACTATGATGATCAGGAATATTCTGAAATTTATGAGAATAAAGAAAATCTGAACGTAAATATTTCTTTATTAAATATTTGTATTATTACTAGATAATGTTTTTTTATTTAATGTATAACTTAATAGTAAATATATATGTATATATAATTGTATGTAATAATGTGAAACTGTATCCATACATTTGTGCATTAATTAATTAATTAGTTATAATTGCAAGTAAGTCATCATCATAATCTATGAAAAAATAATCAATTTTTCTATTATTCTATTGCATTAATGCAAAATATCAATCATGTATATATGGAAATAAATAAATAAATAAATAAATAAATAATGTATTCAGTTGTGTTTACCATTATCATTGTGCAATGCAAGAAACTCATCGAAAGGATTCTCTTCATCGGATGTAATGCTATCGTCAGTTTCTATGTCCATGATGTCTTTTATTTTAATTTAATTCGTAACCTTACTAATCACTTTAGCTTGCTGTTCATATGTGCACCCCATATTCCGAATTACGTTCTATTTGAAAACTTGAACTCGCACTGTACTGTCTGTACCGCGTGCACCGTGACGACATTTTGAACTGTATCATGTGTACTAGATACAAAAAGTTCCTGCACGGTACTTTCAAAAAGAACATAGCTATTAACTGCTGATTGTCTGTTATTCGAACATCGGGTGGTAATACCAGCCACACTACAAACAGCAATTTTGAACGATCTGCATACGGCACATGTAAGGAATCGTAAAAATGAAAGGTATCGCTCGTTCTTTTGTATATTGGCCAGGGATTGATGCAGACATCGAGCGAGTTGCTAAATCTTGCACGGAATGTGCCAAACACGCGCATGCCCCTCCGAAATCCAGGAATCATCACTGGGAGTATCCCAAGGGGCCATGGGAACGCGTGCATATCGACTACGCCGGTCCCGTAGCAGGCGTGATGTTGCTTGTCATTATGGACGCGTATAGCAAGTGGCTTGAAGTGAAAATCACCAACTCTACGACTACTGCAGCGACAATCGCAATCTTAGACGAATTGTTCTCAACGTATGGTGCTCCAGTTACCATTGTTTCAGACAACGGTCGCCAGTTCGTTTCTGCTGAATTCGAAACGTTCCTACAAGTCAGCGACATCAAATACCATAAACTCACGGCGCCGTATCATCCTTCGACAAACGGCCAAGCAGAGCGATATGTACAAACCATTAAAAATGCCTTAAATACGATGTCTACTACGCCAGGATCCATACAACAGAACATAAACTCATTTTTGCAACAGTATCGGAAGGCTCCTCATGCGACAACAGGACAACCTCCTGCTCAACTCTTCTTAGGTCGCAATATACGAACTCGATTGGACTTGGTCCGACTCGACGACATGTACACCAAGATGAAGGAGAAATAATCACAACTCGATCCATCATTTAGATCATTTAAATCGGGACAAACAATCTACTTCCTTTCGGGTAATCCTCGGATGGATAAATGGATTCCAGGCAAAATTGTTACTAAGCTAGGAGACCTGCACTACGAGATAGATTACGCAGGCAAGCGATTCAAGCGACATATAGATCAAATTCATACATTCCTCGGTAACGAACTAGAATGCTCAACAAATGTTTATTCAGCACAAAAGGAAAAGACGCAATTTAGCTCATCGCGACGAGTTCATTTCTACGAAGATAGAGCAGAAACCACTTCGAGTGAAGCCATAAGTTCCACGGCTCCGAGTCCACAGTCCAAGATGTCAAAGCCACCGACAACCCCAGCACACTCAACAATTAGGTCGCAAGAATCGTCACCGAATCAGTTCTTTACACCGCCGACTGTACCGCGTAGGTCAACACGAATTCGTCGTCCCAATAGATTTGTGCAAAGATAATTTTGTTCCTTTCTTTTCTTGTAAGGAGGGAAGAATGTTATGTATGAACGTACTTTGTATTCCGACCAATCGCGAGCGAGTATTCGGGAGAATCCGTTCTCAGTTAATTCTATGCTTGTTTGTATTACTTTGTTGTTGGACGGTTAACTCGCGCTACTGTTGTCGTTCGAAATAATAAAGTGTTCTTTTACGCAATCACGTCTAATCTGAATCTACGCAGTATCCTTCCCAAACAGAAGCACAAAGAACACACGCACAAACACAAAAAGTAGATTATTTTTTCCTTTAAGCAGATGTTGATAAAAAGGGAAATAGGTAACTTACAACCCACCCCTCCCCAGAAACGAAACGCTCCAATAGGCGATCGTGAGTCTGAAACCTTTAGGGAGGTGATACCTTATCACCAATAAGAATAAGAGCGAATCAAACTGACACAGCAGGCGGAGCTAACTTGAGGGAAATTTCCCAATGACCAGTCAAGCCTGTTATCATATCAAAATCCTGTGAATCTGATTCCCCAATTTCCCAATTTGACACATCTTACCATGGAACCACCTCCTAAAAAACGACTATATAAACCGCGACATTGTGAAACACAAAGAACAGACGGACAGAAAAAAAATATATTTCACTTAGCTCGTAAAAGCTATTAGAATCAGTGCTCAAAATTCAGTCATCACCATCCACTAGACCAGGGGAACCGAGGCACTGACCAACAATGTATCCAGAAGATAAAATTCGACAACCCGTTCTGCCCGGACAACCAAACAGTAAGTTGCTCCTCATAAATTACACACTCCAGAACCTAACGTAAATCATCCCTTAGTGAACCGTTCCGATCGCACCACCGATCCTTTCCCGCAGAGCACTTACACCATTGGCCCTAACTATTTCGATCTCGAGGAAATCCGAGCTGCCATAGCTGGACAACCTCCTGGAACTCACATTCCAGTATTCATTCCCAGTTCCCCTTTTCCTTACCTAATTCCGATCGACCTTTTCAATGACCTTTTCCCTCCTTCCGCTATCATAATTAAAGAAATTCAATAACCAACATGTATCGCCTCACCGTTAATATACAAATATAGACTCACGTGTCTCTAGTGATATATTCTCTAGTGATTTACGCAATATGTAAATATTCTCTAGCGGCACAAATGTTCCCATTCTTCTATAACTAGCCAGCGATTTTTGCAATCATTTATTGTAACATGTAAATAACCGAGTTTCATTTATTGTAACATGTATATAACCGAGTTTCATTTATTGTAACATGTAGATAACCGAGTTTCATTTATTGTATTATAACATGTAGATAACCGAGTTTCATTTATTGTAACATGTAGATAACCGAATTTCATTTATTGTAACATGTAGATAACCGAGTTTTATTAATTGTAACATGAATATAAAATTAAATTTTACAATAAACTATAGAAATAATTTATTACTTCTAAGTGCATATAGTTAAACTGTAATTTATGTTTAGTAATAAATTAGAACATTGTTAAGATGATTGCTCTCTTTTCATTTTAAAAACCGAAAACGACCTCGTACTCCATCGTCTTTCAGAGATCGCACGTGGTCCAGTCCTGAGTTATAAGGATTAGGTTCCTTGACTCGAAATCAGGACCGACGTACGCACTGCTCGTAGGAAACAAGTGTTATAGCGTCCCTTCGGGATGTTGACCCATATTCCGGAGCGATAAGAAGTACGTCCGACTCTCAGGTATTCGCCTCTGCGCGTATACCTGTGAGATAAAGTCTGCACGTCCTTCCGTACCCTCTCCATCTTCATCCTTGTCTCTCCCATTCGATTTCAAATTTCCAAGGGCTTGGACGTAACAATTAAGCATTTTAAAAATAGTATTTCAGTATTTATGTACCGCTAATATGTCTTAAAAGAGACTACACGTCTCTTTAAAGTCCCGTCATCAATTATTATACGTTTCAACATTTCGAAGGCGGTGCATGGTACGTACACCAAATATTAGTGGTCTGACATGATGTTTATTTCAGAGACGATTCTGGGTATGCCGGCAAACCAAGGAAAAAACGATGGTGAAGACGATCCATTTAGAAAGTAAGTGCAATCTATCAACATATTTATTTTATTACCAAATCTTGTTATTAACCTGTGGAGGACCGGAGGCTCCTTTAGGGACTCGACAGTGGCGCCACTTTTTTCGTCACTTAACCCCATGACAAAAAAGTTCTAGTTCTTAAAATAAAAAAGTCGATCAAAAACATGCCGGTCCTCAGAAAAGTAAAATCCAAAATATTTAAAAAATAAAAATTATGCTCCAAAAATTATCATATTCTAAATATTTTATCATATTCTCATGTTTTAAAAATCATCCTGATAAATTATTAAACAGGGGCCAAGTTATGATGCCATACAGATTTGCACGACCATGGTTGCTAATCGACTGGCTTTACCGATTGACAGCAGCTGGAAAATCGGAGGAACAGCAGCCGAGAGACCTGGTCAACTTTTGTTTTAAAAAAAATGTAAGAGAAACGCGAATTTTTGAAAAAGAATGGCTCTCTTACTGCTGATGACAGCACGATTAGAAAAATATCTCTACTTGAGTACATGGTCGAGATTAATGAAAGAAATCCCCAATTTACTGAGAGGGATATCATCGAGGAATGTTGCACTTTCATGCTGGCCGGCCAGGATTCGGTCGGCACTGCCACCGCGATAACGCTTTTCCTTTTGGCGAATAATCCGAAATGGCAGGAGAGATGTGTCGCGGAATTGCATGAGATTTTTAACGATAACACAAGGTCGCCAATTATGCAGGATTTTAAGAAGATGATATGTTTAGATATGTGTATCAAGGAATCCCTGAGGTTGTATCCTAGCGTGCCATTTTTTGATAGAACTCGGAGAAGATGTGAAACTAGGTAAAATTCTTTTAGAGAGAAAAAACTCTTATGATAAAAATTAAACTTAATAATAAAAGGCTATGAGCCACATTAGATATTTATTGTTAAATTCGAACAGTGAATTTAATAAAATAATAAACAGACGTTTCGACTTCTATCAGATCATTATTAATGTTAACAAAATGATAATTATTAATTATTGTAACGTCCGGTGCGCCTGCAGAGTAGCGCCCCGTACTACACGACAGACCGCGAGCACAGAGTATAGCACAAGCTATAACATGTGCCAAACAACAATCGGGCAAAGCTATAGGCCGCGCCGCCGAACGATTCCGCCGTGCAACCCAACAAAGAAAACGCCGTAAAAATGCATCTTCCCGTAAAAACTACAACACGGTCAAACCGAGCATAAAGAAATCAATATATAACGCGAAAATCAGCATCAACGCAGGAACCGCCCCTCAGGCAGGACAAGAAAAGCGTATGCTGCACTTTTGATGCGTCAAATGCAACTCAAATGCACTCCAAGACACCGGAAACTTCTCGTGGCGTAAAACAAGATCGCTAAAATAATAATCGGAATGATAGGAAGACAGAAGATTCGAATCAGAAGACTAAATTCGAACAAGGCAGAATCGTACGAAGACAGAAATCCATTATGAAAAAATCGTCATAATGAAAAGATGCATGCCGCGATGCAACGAGCCGCGAAAAACAACAACCAAGCACGCCGCTATGAGTAAGGCGATGCCCGGAACCGCGCTTCGTACTCAGAAT